GCGTTCGGGTTCGTGGCTCCTATCTGGTTGATCTATTTGCCGCGCCGAGGGTATGGTAGGTTCCGCTAGTTGTGCCCGTTTTACATTTCTGTGAGCAGCTCTCAGTATGAAGGTAAACTTCACTTGACTAGTCCGCTGTGGAGACGGCTTTTGGATGTTTTATGTCCTGCCGGCTAAATCTCCTTTCGGCAACAATCGGAGATTTGGGATTCTCCTGTAAGCGTCTCACAATCCAAAACGTAAACATACGCGGCCGCAACATGCCGCGACATGACGTAGACTATAGTAGAAAATCCAAGACGAAGGGGTCCTGTAAGGCTTTGCAGATTTCTGTGCCAGAGCACCCTAGGGGAAGGGGTTTGACATGAGTGGGCACCCGATGCACCCGGCTGCTCCAGGTGCCCAGATTTCTGCTCCACTGATGTGAGTGCACACTGAGCCCTGTTGGCCCTCCAGTCCTAATTAGGTGCATGTACAGGTCGCATCCTAACAGGATTCAAAACCATCAAAAAGTCAAAGAGTCAAAGAGTGAGAGGAAAACAGGCGCACTGGTGCATGCTCCTGTCTGGCACGATCGTGCAGGGGAAAGGCGGGGCCGCTTCAGGAGAGATTGAAACTTCTCTCACACCGGCGCTGCAGATGCTCTTAGGATCCAACCTGAGGCTGTCGAGGGCACGGTCCTTGCAGGTGAAATTGAAACGCAAAGCTGGGCACAACACAAAGCGATTCTGGCTTCTCGCCTCTGAAGCGTTGGCCAGCGCAGCCTCCAACCGGCCGTCCAAAGCAGCCTCGGGCTGGCTCCGAGCTCCAAACCTCTTGAGAAAAAGAATCTAAACATTCTCGAAGCGTCCTCCTGCAGCTGCGTCCGGACCTGCACCGAAGCAGCTCGCTTTCCACGTTCGTTTCTCTTTCCAACGTTTCTCCTGCCATTGGCCATGTCCTGCCTTACTGCGCACGTCCACCTCGACCCGGCGGCTAGTTTGGATCTCCTCCTGCGAGGCCCAAAGGCACAAAGAGATCCCGATTAAGAACAAAAAGCTCGCCAGAAGGAGCACGAATCCTTCCCGATCTCGGTCAAGATCCTTTCCAGCTTACCGTCCACTGCAGCCTTTGAGTCAGAAAAAAAACAAGCAAGAAAGTGCAAAACAAGTCTGCGTTTGAGTCATTCCGTCTCTGTGAGGACGGACGGGAGACGGCCTCTGAGAGGAGCCCCGCTGCGCGCTGCCGTACAGCCAGCAGGGCCTCTGAGCACAAGAGCACAAATAAGAGACTTGCCTTGGACATTTTTTGAGTTCCCGGGCCTCTTTTTGGGAAACCGTAAACGTTTGCCTCACCTCGGAGAGCGCCTCCCAGGGTAACGGCTACGGTTACAAAAAAGCACGCACTTGGATTCGGGCTTCAATTTCGTGTTTTGGGTGGAAACTATGTGGGAAGCACCACTCACTCGCTATGTACAAGAAGAAGTCCAAGAGAGCCCGACGAACAAGAATGACACAGTTTCTACGGACTTACTTCAGAAGTGGAATCACACTGGAAAAGCAGTGAGACTAAGTTGAAAGGAGGCTTAAGGTCAGGGTGCGGTTTCAAGGCGAAGGCCTGCTGCAGGCGCCCCGACTCAGCCGCCTGCAAAGCAAAGGGCAGCTGAAACCAACTTCGCTCAGCTGCTTAGCCTTGCTTTCAGCTGACTTTGCCTCGCAGAGAAGCGCAGCAGCTTTGCTTTTTGTGTCCTCTTTCGACTTCTCCAAAGGCTTTTTTACCTTCAGATCAGCCACCGCGCGCTCCAAAGCTCCCGTCTCGGCTGCCTTCGCTTTGAAGGGATGCTGTCAATGCTGATATTTCAGATGCCGCAATGCCTCCAGAAGCGCCGCCTTGGCGGCGGCACGGACTTCTGCGAGATCTTGGTCAGGCGCCTCACAAGCCGAACCTCCCCTCAAAACCATTCTTCTCTGACCTGGCACCGGATGCACCGGGCCCACCGGGCCTCGTGGCAAACTTGGCGGTCCTGGGGACTTCATCCAAGGCTCCTACCTCAAGCTTTGCTGAAGCTCTCCAAGCCTCCCTACGCTCGAGCTCAAACCGATCTGCCTCGGGAAAGCAAAAACATATTTTTCCCCTTGCCAGCACGGATGTTTTGCGAAGACAAGCGGTGCCTCTGCCTGAATGTGCCCTTCGAGGCCCTGACAACCACATCTTGAAAATTTACAATTGCTTCATTTAGCAGTCAGATGGAAAACGAATCTGGGAAGGATTTTCGAGCATGAACATGGCACCAGAATAATGCGTCATCATGCGTCCATAAAAGAACTTGCGCCCACCGGGGGTGGGGGGACGAAAGCTTGGAAACAGGGTGCAAACTGGCGCGTCCATTTTTTCATGAAGCAGCGGAGCGCGAACGGCCTCCGCGTGCCCAAGAACGGCTTCCGAAAAAGTGCCAAAAAAGCTGCCGCCTGGCGTCCCAAACCGCCTCCGCAGCCCCCGAAACGGCATCCCGAAACCGCAACACACCCACAGACCCCTCGTCATGCCTATCTTCTAAGCCCACCAGAACACACCAGAGAAACCCCCTTGCCGTGAGGCCTGACCCGCGAAGCACGGCCCAATCTTGACCATTTTGGTGGTTTCCCCAAAAAAATACTAAAAGGGGAATTCTTACAAATAACACATTCTATATTACCCCCCTCAGCTAATTTGTCAAATCCTACCATACCTTCTTCATTATTTCCCCTTATGCCTCTCATCCATTATTCATACAGGGCTTCTAGGCTTGTACCCCTGGTTTTCAGCATTTTTTCCGCCTCATTCATTATTCACACTCACTCCCTAGGATTCTTACCAACGCCCCTTTTTCGTTCTCCCTAATTTCAACCCTCCATTTTCCAATGTCCCTAGTAATGCTCTTACCAACGTTCAGGGCTTTCCAGCCCTTGCCGCTCTCGGCTCAGGGCTCCCAGGCCCTCCCAGAGCCTCCCTGCCTGGCTCCCTCTCAGAGCCTCTGGTTTGAGGCCTGGAGCCGCTCTTGGGCAAGTTCGAAAGGCTGCCAGAGCTGTTCGGCTAGAACGGGAGAGAGAGAAGTCTATTTTTCATTTTTTTCGCATTTTGACGATCGTCTGATCAAAATCTTAAAATGTTTGAAAAAAATTCGGATGTTCGAGCTGTCGCGGAGGTCCTGGGCGGCCCCTGTCAGGGCTCCGAGGCCCTCCCAGAGCCTTGCGTTAGACTCTTCCAGCCTTCTAGCAGACCCTCCCAGAGCCTCCGGCCCGAGGGTTTGAGGCCTGGAAGAGCCACTTTCGAGCAAGTTCGAGAAGCTGCCAGAGCTGTTCGGCTAGAACGGTGTTCATGTTTTGTTTTTTTCTTTTTTCGGATTTTGGTGATCGTCTGATTGAAAGATTAAATAGTGTTTGAAAGATTTTCGGGTGTTCAGATCTGTCGCGGAACTCCCGGGCGGCGCCTCTCAGGGCTCCCAGGCCCTCCCAGAGCCTCCCGCCTCTCAGAGCCTCTCACCATCACAGCCTCTCAAAGGCTCTCAGGGCATCCCGCATCCCAGAGCCTTTTAGTATTTTTCCCCTACATCCCCCAGTCGAGATCAGCAAAGCTGGGTTCCCACGAAAGCTAGGGAAGCTACTTGGAAAGGCGTTGCAGAAAGCCCTTTGGTGGAAACACCAGTCTGGCTATCAGCTCGAAAAAACCTTTCGAGCAAATAGCTGCGGCATGCTGCGGCATGGCTTTGCCAGTGCAAGCCCGAAGCGTGAAGCAAGGCGCCTTCTGAAGCACGCGCTCCAACAGCCCTGTGTCTGCTGCCTTCAAACCACGACGTGTTTTGAGGCTGTTGTCCGCTGTTCGATCGAAGAGTCAGGATCAATGGTCGTGTTTTCAGTAAAAAGGGTTTGATCTGTGGTTGAAACAATTTTGCAGTCAATGCATGGGAGTCAGCAAAGCAAGTTTGAACCAGAACTGACCCGTGACCGAAACCAGCTTGCAAACAATAGTGATTATGTCCCACGATGCATGGGGGTCTGCACAACAAATACCATACATGGGAGTCCATAAAACAAGTCTGAACCACGTGAAACCCATGATTATGATGATGTCTCACGATGCATGGGAGTCAGTAACCCGTAACGCTGCATGCGCTCAAGAATGACACTTCACAGTGAAATCTTTTTCCCTTGAGCCACACAGAGGCACGTGCCCGTCATCCTTTTGCTGAAGCTGTGTTAGCCCATAAGGACTTGGCACACTACTCAAAACTGTGCGTCTCATCCATTGCAGGGTCTGCTGAAAGAATCTGTTTAAAAGGGAAGATCCGAGTCTGTTCAAAAACTCTCCTGATCCCCAAGATCCAGACTCTCTAATAAAACGCCTGAGTTTTCAAAGGTTTCAATCTGACCCAACCTCCGTGAGCAGCCGCGCAGCCTTTTGCCGCAAGCTTGTCTCCTTCTCGGCGAACTCCTCAGAACATCTCAACACTTGGTGCATCGTCTGGCGCATCGGGACCTAAACGAAAAAGTGTCCGCTTCCTGCGGAAGCGGAGGACCCTTTACGTCTTCCAAGATCTTCTCCAAGTCGCCGTTGTCCGCAGCCTGCAAAAGGAATGCTACGACGACAAGTGCAACGCTGAGTGCTTTACGTTTGTCAAACGAAGCCGTAGTGCTTTTCTTCAAAGGAAGACGTTTGGCCCTTCGCCTCCGTCAGGTCTTTAAAGGAAGACGTTTGGCCCAGCCGCCTCCGTCAGGAGCCCTGCGACGCGCTGCCGGACTTCGAGGAACATCTCGCGCTTCACCTCCGCGAGGATCTCTCCCAAGCCGCCCGAGTCTGCGGCCTGAGCGGCCAAAGGCAGAGGCAAAAAAACAGCTTCAAAGAAGGGGTCACAACTCTTAGGGATGAGGGGGAAGGTTTTGAGGAGGGGGGGGGGTCGCCTTTCTCTCCGATGCGTTGAGGCTTTGATGCTTCGGTTCCCGCGGTTCCCGCCTGGGCCAGGAGCTCTGCGGTGCGCCGCCGCAGTGCTGCCAGGTCCTAGCGGCGAGACATTTGAAGACAGAAAGATAAAAAAAATGCAAAAAACGCGAAGGAGCCCTAAAGGAGGAGAGAGAATAGTAGAGAATGAGGAGAGGGTAAGTGAACTGTTGCTAAGCCAAGCCCAATGTCTTTGCCTGCGGCGTGGGCCGCCGCGTCTCCTGGCTTCAGAACTTTTCAAAACTTTTCAGAACTTCAGTCGCCGTCCGGTGCTGAGCCGCGGCATGCTGGGGCATGCTGGGGCATTGTGGGCCCGCCTCAGCCGGTACCGGCTCCACCTGAAGCGAAGCCCTGAACCTCACAAAAAACCTCACTTCGTCAGAGGAAAGACTGAGCAAAGAGCTTCTGGCTCTTTCAGCTCCTGGTCCTCCAGGAACACACAAGTCACTCCTTTCACTCCTTTCACTCCTCTCACCTCCCCTTCCCGTCTTCCCCGTTCCCCCCACTCCCCCCCGGTGCCTCTTCGCAGAGGTCCTTCAAACAGGAAGCGTTCCAAAGCTCTCACTCAATTTCACTGTGCCTCTGGTGGTGGCGGTGGCGGCACATCTGAGAAGTGCTGCGCACCTCACCAAACAGCAGACTCATCTAGATTTTCTCCATGAATCCTTGCCTCCAGCGTCAGCTGCCACTTGCACAGCCTAAGCAAAGATATGAGTGTCATGATTCATGATGCTATTGGTGCATGCGGAACCCTTTTGGCCTGTTCTAGGGAGCCATCCTCGAGCTTGGAATACATAGCAAGCCGCACCCTGAGCGAATGAGAGGATTATGTAACACGATGCTGCGATGCCTGCCAATGCTGGGCCGCCCCACCGATCTTTCAAGGAAAGCAAATCCTGCAAAGCAGATGCTTTGGCGCGGGCAGCTGAAACCGCCGGCTCTGTCTGCCTCCTCCGGCGTGTCCAGCAGAGTCGCGCCGGGCGATTTGGGTGTTGGATTGGATGTGTCAGCCTCTCGCATCATGGCGGCCAGCATCTCCTGAAGCAAGTTGATCAATTGCTGCCGGCATTTGCCGGAAGTTTGCAGCCAGTTAGGCACAGCCCTTTCCTGTGTCAGCTCATCGCTGTCGGCCTGAGTGACCACGCCCGAGAAGACCTCATGCAACTGGGACGCTTTGAAGCGATGTTGCGATGAGAGCAGCTTCAAAATCAACATGTTTCCTATGTTTCATGTAAGCGTTTGGTCCGTTGAAACCTTTGTCGCCAATCGCTAGGTGAAAGTGCTCACCAAAGCAGGCGATCCTCTGGGGTCGAGTGCGTGTTCGCAGTTTGTGGCTTCGATACCACTGAGGCGCTCCCCTTTTGTGGAATCCTGTGGCAAGTGGCCAAGCTTAATGCCAAATTTCCAAATTGAGGTTGAAATCTGCCTGCCAACAACTTGCCCCCAGCATTGGCCAGATTCTGCAGAACCTGCCCACAGCTTATCGAGATTCTCGGCGAGTACCTTGCACAGCTCGCACGGTCCAATGCAAGAGATGATCGACCTAGGCGTGATGAGCATATTCCTACTGCTATATGGCTTGTCGTCCAGATCAACTGTTGAAATGCTTCGACATTCAAATCTAGCAAATCTTGAAGAGGTTAAGCAAGGAATGGGAATGACGAGTCGCTAGGTTTTTCCTCAATGGGTGATTGCGAATATAACGTCAGTAGGCATGGCAGCAGCTGAGGCAGCGCCATTCACAGGAATGCTGGCAGCTTGTTCAACGGCATCATCAGCGTTATCTGCAGCACTTGGAACGAACTATGAGCTGGGAGCATTTCCGCAAAGAAGCACCTTCGGTAGTCTGTGTCTTCATTCGTGCGCTCTCTGAGAACCATCCACTGTATCTGACACCGACTGTGATTCCATACCAGGTTACGACTGCAGTGCAAGTGGCCACTAATTTTTGTCTGATGTGATGGCTGGATTGGAGCAAGATACGCCGTCAATGAGATTTATCTAGCGTTTGGGCTTGCTTTCATCCGTCCGGTGGTCATTGCAGAAAATGTTGGCATGTTGATTGCAGCCCTCAAACACTGTGAACAGTGAGGAATGATGTATGAATAGTCCGTTGATGAGTCAAAATTGAAGTTGATTCATCACATCCGGAATAGGCGCAGAAATGTTTGATCCAAGGATCAAAGTTCCCTATGAAGATGTTGACTGGCGAAAGAACCACCTACAAGGAGCATGGGCATGGATCCACGGTAACCCTTTCTTGGTGATGCAGAATGCCTGATCTTAAGTCATGGATTGGCAGAGTCGATTTACAATGACATGCAAGCCAATTCGGACACCCCCCTAAGCCAAAGGAGAATGTCAAGTAAAGAGCCCAGTGCTGGAAGAATGCGCTTCCTAGCAGGAGGAATGAAGCAATGAAGTTCCTCTTTAGAAGCTTCTTTGCTTCGATGATCCCGAGACTGGCCAAGCAAGGACTGCGGATCGTTGATGCTTCTGAGGTGGGTCTCAGAGAGCTCGGTTGTCTCAAACTACAGGCCGCTCAGTCAAATTCAGAGCGCCCAATTGGTTCACTCCGATGGAATCCAATGTGTGGCTTGGCAGGGTCGTGACACTGATGTGCACGCTGCTTCAGAACCAGATCACGTGTTCCTGGGCGTTGTCGATCACGATGTCACAACAATATGACTCTATGCCAGGTCCATCGATGTTGGGTTATTCCGTCTTCTTTCGCATCCTCAACTCATGGAACAAGCACCTTCAAAAAGATCCCGTTGTCAGCAGTTGCCGGTCGCTCTCAGCACTTCCTGGTTTTGCAACTCACGCAGAAGTTGCGTGCGATGGTGATGTGCCAACTAAGGCTGAATACCAATTCTATCGCAGGCCGCTAAACAATATTCACAATTTCCAGCATACAACGACCATATACGCCTGAGAGCAAAGTGGACAGGCACGCGTGAGGACTCGTCAGCATACAGAGGATTCAGACTAGGGCGAACAGCTCTTACCAAGGTGGACAAACCGTCAAGCTTCCACGTGAGCGTTTCAAGCGTGACCAGGGGAGGAGAATGAGGCGGGCCTTCTTCCCATCCTCCATGTCAGTGAGTCAAGACAGATAACCCGTCTGGGCACAAGACGCAGAGCAGCAGAGCAGCAGAGCAAGGACAGGGGTGTCGGAGAGAAGGCAGATCGAGCCATCATAGGAGAAGGGAGCGGCCCAAATGATACGGTGGCCCAGACGGGTCAGAATACCGGCCAGACGGGACCAGCAATAGCCTGAGGCGCGGGCGGCAAATTTCACTATGAGACCTTGATACCAGAGGAGACCCTGATTAGACGGACGAATCAGGATGCGACGATCCAGGAGTGTGCAAACGCTCTTTGGCCAAACAGGACGGGAGCGCAGTGATTCAAGGTCGGGTTGGCAGAGCCGTTTGGCAAACATTGACCCACACTTGTTCGTACGCAAGCATCATCAGCAGAAGTGGGGGTCCGTTTTAACACCCTAAAGGCAGTTTCGATTACACCCTTGCTTTCTAAGCTTTTCCCAGCACACGGAGGGATTGGCGAAGGATCTTTGAGGTGCCAAGACCCCGAAATGGACATCATGAGCACAGATTCTAGCCCCA